ATTGACATTCCTCATGGAAAAGGACGGGAAATGCCCGAGGCAGAGACAGCATGGCAGGTGTTAAAGGGGGGTGAGATTCAGCTCATGAATTTACTCAGTTCTTCCTGTATCTCCAAACCTGGTATCATTATAACAAAGCATGCAAGCATCCATCCCAACACACATACATACACATACGCACACACATATACACATATGTGCATACACATATACATACTACACACATATGTACATACACCTATATACATACACATATACATGCTATATTCGGTCCTCAGCTCTGAAAACAAACTAACAACATGCTGAGCATGCCTGGAGGAGCAAGCCAGTAAGTAGCACCCCTCCACAGTCTCTGCTTCAATGTCTGTCTCCAGGTTCCTTCAGTGGTGGGGTGTGACCTTTCCTCCCCAAGTTGCTTTTGGTCCTGTTGTTTTATCCCAACAACAGAGACCTACCTAGGACAGGGACAATAGGATCTTAGTGCCCGCACCACTGGTGCTCTGTTCAGGAAGTGGTCTCCTGTGCCAGTGTGTTCAAGGCTGCTTCCCACTTTCTCTTTTACCAGGTTCAGTGTATCTGGACTTATGTTGAAGTCTTTGATCCATTTGGACTTGAGTTTTGCACAGGGTGATAGCTATGGATCTATTTGCCAACATCTACGTGCCAACATCCAGTTAGACCAGCAAAATTGGTTGAAGATTTTTTTTTTCATTGTATAAATTTGGAGTATTTGTCAAAAATCAAGAAAAACCCACAGAACCTGTAGTGAGAAGCCACGGAAGTCTGTTAACGGTTCTCAAGAATTTATTTAGGTATAAAATAGGGGCAAACACTCACCAATACAGAACAGTTTAGACGCTGCCACTGGTCCAGCTGCCTTCATCCAGTTGTCCTGTCCAGGGGTGAAGAGCAAGCTGCCTGCTCCTCTCTCATCACCACCCAAGAGAGCATGGGAACGAGAGGACAAGACCCTCTCATTAAGCTTATAAGTTGTCAGGTCTGCAAACAAGACCATGCCCTAGGATTTATAATCCCCAAAAGCCATTGGCTAAATGGATCTAAATCCCACAACAAGAACCAGCTAACGCAGGCTCCTAGGGGCTCCCAGAGACTGAACCAACAACCAGAGAGCCTGCACGGGACTGACCTAGACCCTCTGTATATATGTTATAATTGTGTAACTTGGCGGTTTTGTGAGACTCCTAATAGTGAGAGCAGAGACTGTCTGACTCTGTTGCCTGCTTTTGGGATCCATTATTCCTATTGGATTGTTCATAACACAAGAGGAAGTGCCTAGTCATACTGCAATTTGATATACTACGGTTGGCTGATACCCATGGGAGGTCTGCCAGTATCTGAAGAGAAACAGAGGAGGAGATGATGGGGCGTAGGGGGGAAGAGGAAAGGGACTGGGAGGAGAAAAGGGAGGGAAAACTTTAGTTGGGATGCAAAAACAAAACAAAAAAATAAACAACAACAAAAAATAAAGAAAAGAGAAGGAAGTTGGATTTGGTTGTGTACGCCTGTGACCCCAGCACTCAGGGGGACAGGCAGATCCTGATGGCATACTACCCATAAAGTTCAACCAAAGTAGAGAGCAGCTAGTTTGGTTAGAAACCCTAGCTCAAGACAATAAGGCATGGAGCGATAGAGGAAGGTGCCTGACTTTGTGCCTTGGCCTCTACATGTACACAGGTAGGTCTTTGCACACTTACATGCGTGCAACACACATCACCACAAAATACAAGGTGCTTGGTTTGGCTTAATGATATGGTGTGTGAGCGAGGCCTTGAGCTCCAACCCTGGTTTTGTGAAAAAAAAATAGAAGAAAGAAAGAAAAATTAAACAAACCATCTATAGTACAGGTTTCAGGATTTTTTTTTTCATGTAACTGACACAGGGAGGTGGAGAGTTGCAGTCTGACGCAGGACAGCGACACAGGGTCTGAACAGGTGTGTCTCCCTGTACCACCCCTGCTCCACAGCTAATGCCCCGGGACGTCTGGGTGCCCACTGCCTGGAGGGCGCTGGACATCTCTTCCCAGCCTTTACTCTGTTTCTTAAAAATCAGTTTCAAAAAGAACAATTAGGATAAGTTTTTTATTAACGCCTTGGGAATTTCACACGTGCACACAGCACCGTTTGGTCCTATCCATTCCTAACGCCACCCCTCCAGGTCCGCTTCTCCACCCACAACTCTCTCCCTTGTTCCCTTTTCTTTTATAACGCACTGGCCCCGCTTGTCTTGTGTCAGCTTGACACAAACGAGAGAGCTTGAAAAGGAGGGAACCTCAATTGAGAAAAATGCCTCTTAAGGTCCAGCTGTAGGGCGTTTTCTTAATTAGTGATCAATGGGGGAAGGGCCCAGCCCATTGTGGGTGGGGCCAGCCCTGGGCTCCTGGTTCTGGGTGCTCTAAGAAAGCGGGCTGAGCAAGCCATGGGGAGCAAGATAGTAAGCAGCTCCCTCCCTGGCCTCTGCATCAGCTCCTGCCTCCAGGTTCCTGCCCTGCTTATGTTTCTGTCCTGACCTCCTTCAGTAATGAACAGTGATGTGGAAGTGTCAGTCAAATCAATCCTTTCCTCCCCAACTTGCTTTTTTGCCACAGCGATAGAAACTTAACTAAGACACGCACCTAACTCAATTAGTGCTGCACCTATAGGAATGAATGCGAGACCAGCCACTGGGGAGCAGCTCACCTCCTAGGGGTCACACTCTTGAAGAAAATTGACTCTCCCTTCCCCAGCAGTCATCAGTGGTGGTCCACAGCTCCTCAGCTGTAGGTGGGAACTTGTAAGCCCCTTTCTTCTCCGTACTGAACTATTGACTGGCAAGGTCTTGGGCAGGAAAAAAAAAGAGGTGGGGATGAGGGCAATATGTCCTCCATGATGGCGACTCTCATCTTGTCTTCTCGAGATTCAGGGAAGCCCCTGTGTTTCAGCCAGTACAGATGTGATAATCTGGTCCTCTTGGCCAACAGAGTCAGATAACGCTCTTCTGGACAGGGCGCATATGTGTGTGTGTGTGTCTGTGTGTCTGTGTGTTTGTGTATGTGTATGTGTGCGCATGTGTGTGTGCCAGGCTCATGGATAGGGAGGGGCCTTGAGTGCTTGAGTAACAGATGCTGGGGATGGGCAGTGGTTGATTGATAAACGTGAGCCCTGCATTTCTTTCCACCACGTACAATGATCCCCATCCGTCATGCAGGCTAGCAGAGACGCAGGATGAGGTCCAGTCTCAGTTGTATCTTTGCAGTGAGGTGTCCCCTGGATGAACCTTAGTCCTCTGTAGTCACACTGGTCTCATGTTCCTGGGTGACTGTCGCAGTTCTCTCCCAGCTGTTTTCTTTGCTCTCCACATCCTGTTGAGCAGTTGGTCCTTCACCTGTGGACATTGTTCTGAACCCACTGAATTTGGTCCAGCTTTTTGAAGCTCCCACGCCACCTCAGGCCATGAGTGACACGTTCCAACATGTCATTGCCTCCCTTATTCTTTCCTTCTAGGGTAGAAACCAGATTTGCATAGACACTCTGGGAATACTGATGGTCCATCTGCTGCTAGCCTAGCGTGCGCTGTCTCTCCTGCCCTCTTGATGCCTCCCAGAAGCAGTGGAACCAGACCATTCTGGTTGCAGTGTACCCAGGATGCTCAAACCAATAAGGGCAAGAGTGGGAGAGCTGGCCTTCGGGATGACATGGGAGACTGTGTGAGCCCTTCCAGAGCGGGCTTTGCCCAAAGGAGCAAATAACTTTGCAAGTGGCCCCCGGACAACCTTCTGGCCGGGTCTCCTGAGCCTTTGCACGTATCCAGCATCGCTCATGTCCTCCCACACATTATTTCTACATAGAAACCACCCTCGTTCTCCACATTCTGGCTCAGAGGCCTGTCTGCCCCCGAAAGGGAGGCGGCAGTAGGAATCCCACAGGAAGCTGTCCCCGGCACTGCTCTGCAGAGGGAGCATTCCTGAGGGCCCCTTGGGATCTGGTCCTGGACTTCCCAGGCCCGGCTCCTTCACAGGCAGGCTCAGCAGCGTCTCCCTACGTGACTGCCTGAGGGTGCGCAAGCCCCGCTGAATGTGGGTGTGTGCCTATGGCCTGAGTAAGGAGCAATGCCTGCGTGGACTTGTCGTCTGAAACAAGCCAGCAGGCAGAGACGTCAAAGCCATGCCGCCTGAACAATGCTGCTTTTTTTAGCCTGGCAACCATCTCCTGGCAGACACTGGGAGAGGCGAGCGAAGTGCTGGGCCCTGCTGGGTGTATGGACCCTCCTGTGGCGTCTGAGACCCAGGACGTGTGGGGTGGGGGCGGCGCTGGAGATAGAGGAGAGCTATGTACAGGGAGCCCTTCACCAGCCCCTTGACCCCTTGGTTTCTAGCTCTGACATCATCTCCAAGTTGAAGTGCCAGTGACATTTGCAGACACTGTGGAGATATACAAGACGGCCACATCAGGGCTGACACCTGGCTCATGGAGTCTCTTGGTTCCCTAAAGGGTGTTTCTCAGAGCAAAGAAACCAAAGGATTTGTGGATGTCCCCCCCCCCACCCCAGAGCATTTCTTCTTATAGTGCAGATGCTCTTTGTCTGACACATAGCCATCAGCAATAGGGAAGCTGATGGCTGCTAGGTCTGCTGGAAGTTTCTAGTCCTCATGGCTGGTGAAGATGGGTCCGTGGTGTGTGTGTGTGGGGGGGTGACAGTGGGTTCATGGTGTGTGTGTGTGTGTGTGTGTGTGTGTGTGTGTGTGTGTGTGGTGAAGATGGTCCATGGTGTGTGTGTGGTGAAGATGGTCCATGGTGTGTGTACACGGTGGTGGAGATGGGTTCATGGTGTGTGTATGTGTAGTAGAGATGGGTCCATGGTGTCTGTGTGTGTTTGGGGGGATTATGTGGGGAGCACACAATAAAGCCAAATGAGGCTTTCAGTTGTCACTTGCATCACAATACTGTGTGACAAACACCAGTTTGTCACTCTCCTTCCTGCTCACTGGGCTGTGGGGCCCCTGGGGCTGGGACTCAGTACTCCACCCTTGTCATTGGTTCTCTGGACCCAGGAACTGACCAGACAAACTCAGCCACAGCAAGGTGAGCATACCTCAAGCCCTGCTCTTCCATAGCCTCTGAGCTCCCATGGAGCTAGTGACAAGGCAAATTCCAAAACCAGGTGCTTGAGCACAGCTCTTGGCCCTTCTGAGGCTCAGGGAACACGTCTCTCGTTTTCCCTTGAGCTGAGGTGTGGTGCAGAACTCCGGGTCAAGGGACAGATGCTGATGAGGGCCTCAGCTGTCGTGGAGTTAGGAAGGGGCACCTGTGACACTGACCAATGCAACGCTTCGGGTCTATGTCTCTGTGTCCTTTGCCTCAATTTCTCCTCTGATGCACACACATGAGCCACAGCCCTTCCATCTGGTTGCTTCCAAGGGTTTCCTTGGTCTAACCTGGGGTAAGGACCCTGACTTGGGCTTTCTGGAGTGCCCTGGGGTGACTAGGCTGGTCTCATTCAGAAAGGTCTTTAATTCCTCGCTCCCAGAGGGGCTGACTACACTGAACCTCCCCACCCTCACAGACGGGCTGATGCGTAGCCTCTACTGCCCAGGGCTTTAGCTGTGCTTGTTGAGTTCTGCACCTGGCCCCGGAGGGCAAGGAAGGTGCTGCTCAGGCTGCCTCAGAGAGGTCCGTCTGGAAGAATGCTGTGTGGCTACATAGCTGCTTCTCTGAGCTGCATGGCTCAGTGGCCATGATTAGTCCGGATACCACGCTACTTCATTTTCAGGTCAGCCATGAGGACCAATTCCCTTCCTACCAGGAGCCCCACCCATGACAGGGACTGGAGAGTGGTTTGGCCTGTATGTCTATCCTATGCCTGGCCTACACAACCCACCTTGTGCTTATAGCAGCCTGGAGCTGCCAGCCATAGTCCCTGAGAATCAGCCCACTGCCTACTCCAGGCAGTGACTGGCTCTGCCCAGCGTGTGTGTGTGTGTGTGTGTGTGTGTGTGTGTGTGTGCATAAGAGGTGCTATGTTGAGTGTAAAGCATGTTTGAATAAATGTGTGGGGGGGTGTAAATTTGTGTGAATATGTGAATATATATGCACATGTTCAAATGTGAGTGGTGTGTGTAACATGCACGTGAGTATAGGTCAGGGCTGTGTCATGTCCCTGATAGTGCTTCTCAAAGAGTGCATGTGATATGTTTGGAAGTGTGTAGGGTACATGTATAATTTGTGCATATGGTATGTGTACCCATAGCTGGGCTGCATCCCCCAACACTACACACTACGTGTTTAGTCTGATTCTTATCCTGTCCTGTGGGTGGGGCTGTAACTGGTGTGTGGAAATGGCCGTCTGAGACACCTGCTTCTGCCCCATGGAAGGCTGAGTTGTTGATGAGGGAGGCTGACCAGGCCTCCTGGGTGTATTCCCATTGACCTTGGGAGTCAGGAGTAGCCCAATGGATGAGTGGACATAAAAGGAAAAGCTAGCCCACCCCCGGGCACCTACATTAGAGACCGGAGCTACCTCTTCCTTCTTTCTTCAGTTCTGTTGTGGATTCATGAGGTTGATGTGATGCCATCCATGCTGGTTGCCTGGTTTTCTATGGAAAATAGCCTATTCTTCCAGAAGGCTTTCAGGCCCAAACCTTGTCCTAGGCCTTCTGCTCTCACATACTTGCTCTTTGGCCGTGACCTGCTCCAGAGCCCAGCATCCCCCAAAGTAGTCTCTATGAAGATGTACTCCTAGGAACCAAAGCCCCCTAGAGGTATCCCTAGGTGGGTGAAGTAGAGCCTCCACTATACGGGGTGCCTGCTTCCCAGTGAGCTGGGGCTGGGCAGCTGGGCAGGAAACTGTGGTATCTGTCCCGTGAAGCACTTGGTAGGTGGAGGGCAGGGCTGTGTGTGTCCCAGATGACCTGGAATGGGACCTTAGGGACTCATCCGCTGCCTCCTCCCTAAGGACCATAGGGCCTGGTGTGGGCTGGCCTCACTAGCACCTGGCAGGCTTAGCTGACTGATCTTAATGCTCTCTCAGCTAGGGTTTTCCCCAGGGCTCCAAAGGCTGCCTGGAGGGACCAGTACCCCACCCATTGAAACTGGTTTTCCCTCGTGTAGGGTGGAGGGTGATGCAGCTGGAGGCCCAGCAGGGAGCAGAAACTGAACAGGCTGTACCCAGGAATGCAAATGTCCCCATCCCCAGAAAAGGGAAGGGCACAAACCACCACTGAAACTGGCAGCTGGCTATGGTCACAGCAGAACAAAACTTCCCTGCCTTATGTCAACTCTGCCTTAGTGGGGTGGGGGGAGTGGCAATGAGCAGGGAAGTATCTCTGATTAATAGGGTCCCCTTCTGCTCTGTCTTCTTCATGGACATCTCTTGCTCTTCCACTTGTGTCAACTGTGACATCCCGCCACAGGGACCCAGTCTGTCACTCCCAAATCTACCAGGGTGCTACTGAGCCATGGTCAACACACTGTTCCCAGACAGCTGGTCTATCACCTGGCCATCAGAATATACCAGAAATTCAGGCCCTGCCCAAGGCGGGGCTGCGGGGAAAGGCTGGGGCAGTGGAGGGCATTGAGGATACTTACCCCTCCACAGCAGGTCCTTGGACCTGTGTGAGCTGCAGGTCCCATGAGCTCTCAGCACATAAAGCCCAGGATGGGAATGAGCCGAAGCTCTTCACAGCTAATATCCACATAGAAGCGGATACGTATCGTGTTTGTCTTTCTAGGCCTGAGATACCTCACTAAGGATGGCCTTTCTAGTTCCATCCACTTGCCTACACATTTCATTACGTCGTTTTTAGCAGCTGAGTAATACTCCATGTTTAAGTCTCTATCTGCAGGTGGGCTCCTGGGCAGTGAGAGAAGCCTGGTCATGTGGTCTCTCTGTGGGGTGTCAGAGGAGGAGGTACGGATATTCTACCTGGAAGGCCATTCCCTAGGACAGCCAGGCTCTCCTGCAACTGGCCCAATGCTTAGTAGGAAGCATCCCAGTTCTTAGGGCTTAGAGTAACCACAGTAACTTTGGAGTTAAGCTTGTGAATTTATTAAGAATGACCTAGTATAAAGTTTCTGTTAAGACCATGTCATAGAAAGGTCCAGAAGGAAGGTTTATCTTGGTAGCACATGGCTGGGACCACCATGGGCCACTTAGAGCTGAGTGGTCTGGCTGGAACACTTCTTAGACCTTTTCTGGCTGGATTCCAGGAAAGGATGTGCGGGCAGGCAAAGCACCTGGGTCTGTAGCCAGAAGGTCTCAGCTTTGACCTTGGTTAGCCCTCGTCTCTGTATATTACCATTTTAAGGGTGGTGAGATGGCATGGTCATTACAGCACTTGCCACACACCCTCACGGTCCAGGCAGCCCTAGGTTCAATTAGAGATTCTGTCTCTAAAAGTAAGGTAGCAAGTCATTGAGGAGGTCACCAGAGTTGACCTCTCCCTCCATAGGCATGTACACATGACCCAAGCACACCAAATTTATCTTTTCAATAATTTCTTAGTGGGGGCACTGAGCATGCTCAATACTGGACAGTGGTCACTGACATCAGCTTCCCATTGGTCCATACTAAGCTTTAGTCCCAGCTAAACAACAATCTCTCAGGTCCCCTCTTGAGTCCTTGTACCTACCTTTCTGATTTATGTCTCTAAAAATCTGACCCTAAAGACCCTGTTTGTTTGTTTGTTTTTGAGATAAGGTCTCAAGGGTAAGGAATGACCTTGAACTCCTGGTCCTCTTGCCACCTCCCTGGTGCTGGCATGTCAGGCCTGGACTACCACACTGGCTTCTATAGACTGCTCATGAGTTTTCAGCATCTTTTGCCCAAGGTTCACGCTGTCCTGCCAGAGTTTCTCTCATGTTTAGGAACAGGCAGTGTTTGCAGTCACCTGCTGAATACTAGTAAGTGATTCTGGTTCTGTGTGACCATCATGAACATCACCATTGTAAATATCACTCACACACTTCTTCAAGTTCCTCCTTTCAGTTCTTTTGGGAACAGAAGTGAAATTGCTAAATCAGATGGGTCTATATTTAATTGTATGAGGAAATGGCATGGTTAAATTTTGTTTATGGCTTGGGGTTTCTCTGGATGGTTCCCTAATACTTTTTTGAATAATATCAAAGAGATAATTTGAAGAAAACCCCTTGTTTTTGTGCCTTTGTTGTTGTTGTTGTTGTTGTTGTTTGAGACAGGGTTTCTCTGTGTAACTTTAGAATCCTCTCTGGAACTTGCTCTGTAGACCAGGCTGGCTCTGAACTCAGAGATCCACCTGCCTCTGCCTCCCAGGTGCTGGGTTAAAGGCGTACTCCACCACTGCCCAGTTGTTTTGTGTCTTCTTATTCTTGGGGGATACTGGTTTGACCTGAGTGGGCTGGCTTGCTGGGCAAGGTGATGGGGTACAGGGAGGAACTCAAGAGGATGATGTTCCCAATCGGTTAGCATTTACAGCTCTGAAAAGCAAGAGTTTGTGCACATGAGTGGACTCAATTCAATCTGCACTGCTCGCCTGCCGTGCCTTGAGCTTGGCTGCGGTGATGACAGCTTTGAGGCTAGTATAGTCACAAAGTTACAAATGGCTCGAGGCCCAGGTTTCTTTACAAGTGATTCTGCCCACATCCCTAGGGGCACCAGCTCTGCTATGTAGATGGCTGTGAATCGTGATTGACAGAAAGGATGATTTCCAGACCCTCCTTTTGAAGCGCCCAGAGAAGAGATGCTAAAGTGTGGGAAGAGAAGCATGAGGCAGCTCAGTGGGTAGCGTTCTCACCCCGTGTGCACGGAATCCTGGGTTTGATCCCTGGCATGGAGAAAATCAGGCATGGTGGCACTTGCCTTGATTTCAGTACTTGGGAGATGGAGGCAGGAGAATCAGAAGTCCCAGATAACCCCTGGCTACCTAGCAGTCCAAGGCTACCCTGTACTACAAGAAGAAGAAGAGAAATAGAAGTGGGGCAGAGGGCTGGGGCTACTGCTCAGTGAAGAAGGCTTGCCCAGCACACAGTAAGTCCTGTGTTCAGTCCCCAGCACACATACAGGGCCTGGCAGTGAGTGCCAGTAACCCTGGGCACTCAGGGGCAGAGGCAGGAAGACCGGAAGTTCACAGAGAAGTTAAATGAGTAGAGGGCAAGAGATGGGTCCAAAAAGGTGCCTGACAGGTTGGAACTAAGGGAGGTGGCATTGGCTAGTCACATATTATATTCCAACCATCTGTGCATCCTCCTGAGGTGGCTCCCAGCAGACTTGACTATGAACTACAAAGCCATGAGCATACGAGAAGACCTGGATCACTTCCTTAGTTACACAGTGAGTTCTAAACCAGCCTAGACTCCATAGCACCCTGTCTGAAAAAAAAAAAACTTAAATAAGCAAGCAAAAAAAAGTACTCAAATACATCACAGCTAGGATGAAGAGAAAGGCATATCAGTCAGGAACTGGGCAGCAAGTCTAAAAATTCAGAACGGATTCAGCCTGGGGCTCTCTGTCTTTGGGAAGTTCCTTGTGGATATTCGCCTAGTGAGCCTTGCCTGGCATAGGACAAAGCTGGCAGCGACTTCCATGTGCTGATGTGTAAGAGCTGAGCCAAAGCTGTGATGACCCCCAAGGACAGGAATTAGTGTTAGGAAGCTGTGCCATGACTAGGTTGGTAGAGCTTACCCCAAGCTGTTGACCTGAGCTTAGCACCCACTCCCTCAGCCTACATGGTGAGAGAGAGAACGGATTCCTTCAAACTGTTCTCTGACCTTTACATGTGCACCGTGGCATTGCATGTATGCCCACATGCTTCACATGTGCACTGCGGCATTGTGTGTGTGCCCACACACAAATACAAACATGGCCATAAAGCAAAAGGAATAAAAACATGACTTAAAAAAGAACGAGTCTGGGTAATTTGATGTGTGATTTGTGTGTGTGTGTGTTTATTTATAGTTTATTTGTCTGTTTGTTTGTTTATTTCAAGACAAGGTTTCCCTATGTAACAGGGAACTCTTTCTGTAGACTAGACTGGCTTTGAGCTCACAGAGATCTGCCTGCCTCTGTCTCACAAGTATTGGGATTAAATACTTCTTCCCTCTACACTTTTTTTAAATTAATAATGAGGTTTATCTTTAAAAGTATATATGAAAGAAAAATTAAAGTCAAATATGAGGTTGTTTCATGTGCAAAAATCACAGGTTACTGTCAGGCTCTAGGAGCAGATATAGACTATGGGGTGCAAAGGGACACCTGTACATGCCAGGACCCCTGAGAGGGGCTGTTGGGAGACAGCCCTATTATAGTGTGTTGGAAGCAGCAGAAATGTGTTTTCTCAGAAGCTGGAGGCCAGGCCAGGCATGGTGACTCACCCCAGTAACCCCAGCACCTGGGAGGCAAAGACAGGCAGATATCTGAGTTGGAAGTCAGCCTGGTCTATAGAGAGAGTTCCAGGACAGCCAGGTCTACACCCTGTCTTGAAAAGCAAACAAACAAAAATTAAATAACAAATAAAAGAAAGAAAGAAGCTGGAGGTCAAAGCCATGGCGCCAGGAGCAGCGTGTTTCCTTTGAAGGCACGAGGGAGGCTCTGTTTGATTCTCTTCAGCATCTGGTGTCCCCTCTGCTGCCCTGGCCCCAAGCTCTCTCTTCTCTTCTGTCTTCTCCCCTCTCATAGGCTGCAGCATTGCAGTTAGAGCCGACTCCAGTCCAGCATGCGAACTATTCATCCCTCGGCTGCAGTTCATGCGCACACCGCTTTACCAAAGTGGAATTCCCTGTCTAGGTCCTGGGTGGACAGCGATGGCGCCCGGGCACCATTCAGCCCACTGCAGTGGGAAATCGAGGTAAGAGAGCATCATGTCATGGCCTGTGGGATCCAGGAATGTGAGTCAAGATTATGCCTAAGGTGTTTGCCAATGGAGCAGGCTCTGTCCCTGTTATGCCAAAGACACACCGAGAGCCCTAGAGGAGCCACCTGACTGCTGGTAGCATCCAGAAACTGGCTCCTTTCTGATCCCCTCACACCTGATCTTGCATCAGATGGGGAAGACACACCTCTGAGCAAGGGGACCTGTGTCTCCAGGGTTGTCCCAGGAACAGTTTGATCTCTTCTGGTCCCTCTCTAGCCCACCCCTAGCTTCCCTTACCCAGAGGCCCCACAGATGTAGCTGTCCCAGGACCTCAGTCATTCAGACACAAGCAGGCCTATGCAAATACTGTTAGAGTTCTGTTAAGCCCTTCTGCAGACCTGAGGGATTTTCTTGGCAGCCACTCCTTCCTGTGTCCTCCAGGCAGCTTGCCCCATGAACAGGCATTGCTGGGTTCCCCAGCCTTGCCCTCTCTCCAACTTCTTCTTCCTGATTCATTTGAGGCACTACCCATGTCCCCAAACCCATAAGCTTCAGGCTGGGTTTGGGTCCAGAACAGCTTGGAATGTGTACGGGGCTCCCACCTACTTCCCATCCCAGCGAGCAGGCTGTGTATCATTGGTTATCAGTCAGAACAGCCTGGGCCACAGGACCTGGGCATAGTTTTGGCTGTCACGACTTGAGGCTTTGATGCTTTATGGCAGGTGGATGCCAGGAGGCTGCTTAGCATCCCAAGTGCACAGGCAGCACCTAACGGTGTGGGAGTAAGAACAGTCAATCCACACCAAGTCAGCTAAGAGTTGGACCAACATTAAAGATGACCTGTGGAGCAATGGGGCCCTGGGAAGGAGCCAATCAACCCCCAAGGCTGCTCGCATGATCATCATAGAACCCAGATATGTGCCCATTGTCTTTCTTTGCTGGCATCTCTCGGCACTGGCGGCAATAGCTCTCCTGAGCCAGGTCAGATGGTCCTCTGTACTTGGACCATGGCCTGGGCAGCCTACTTGCTGCCTACAGAAAGTGGCCACTGTCTGGTGCCTGGAGACCCACTTCTCCTTGGCCCTGCACTCATGGTGGCCCCTCTGGCTCTCAGTGACTCTGCAGCTAGTGTTCTGGCGTCTTAGGCTTCCACAGACTTCTCAGGGCTCTTCAGCAGTGTGAAGCATGCCCAGCACCGGGGTTGGGGAGATGTCCACCGGCTGAGCCTCAGAACTGCTCATACAAAGACAGGATGAATGTGAGCTGTGGAGAATGCCACAATCCTGTCTTTTTTCCAGGTGTCTAGGAGACGCCAGACGGTGGAGGACTTGGGTACCTTCATGCTCCACCCGAGCTACTAAAACGTTAAAACTTAAGAAGACTGTGAATTGAGGAACCCAGGATGGCGGACTGATGAACCCAAAGTCGTCAAAACTACAGACTCAACAGCCTGGCTAAGCCCTAAGGATCCTCGGGAGCCAGTCCAGCTCCTCACTTCTCTTAGAAGCAGGGAGGCTATGTCCATGGGCCCTAAGGCCTAGATCCTAATGTGGGCTTCCCTTCCTTTGGAATGTTCTGGAAAGTACAGCATGGCTACAGAGTCTTCACAGCCTTGGTTGGGTGGACTCTGAGGACATTATGAGAACTGAACCTTCCTCCTCCTTGTTCTAGAGCATTCTTCCTGTTTCAGAGATATTGCCTTGGTCTGTGCTTTTCGAGGTGCTTCCCACAGCCCAAACCTGTGCCTGTACAAAGGTTAAACTGCCCAGATGACCTCTGCCCCCCCCTTTAAAGTTACATTGTGAGCATTTCCCATGCCATTAGATGTCCTCTCTAGCATTAGATGTGTCAGAGATTGCTCAGTCCTTTTCTGTCACCTTGAGTCCACAATTGTTAAATGTCATTCTGCATCCTGTGGAGACTGGATCACCACAGCACAGTGATGTGGCCCAAGGGTCCTGCAGACTGAGGTCCACAGTCAGGGGCCTGGGTGGCCAGTACTAGGGAGAGCCTCTTCTGCCTGTGAATGGCCGGTCGGTCCCCTTCCCATGGTGGAGTTTCACTGGCAGAGGGTGGCACTGACCCCATCATGGGGACTCATGTTCATGCCCATCTCTATTGCAGGTACCTTCCAATCTCTCCTCCCTAGCACCGTCCCATCAGGGGTAGGCTCAGTGTTGAGAACACAGATCAGTCCGCAGCAGGCAACACAGTCCTACTGTATTTACTGTCTTTATCATGACTTCTGGAGAGAGGACACAGTGCTTCTGCTTAAAGCTTCTTGGTCAGAATCGAGATGCACAGACACACCTAGCCTGTAGGAACCAGGGGATGTCCCCAGCTAAAATTAGGAGACTACATGACAATACACTCAGATACAAAGTCAGGACGCAGACCACGTTACGGCAGCACGGAACACTTTGAATTCTTGCATTCAGGCATCTCCAACCTTTGACACCGAGACTCCATGTCACCATCTATAAAGACTTATATTCAGGAGACACACAACTAAGTTATTATACATACATTTCATTATGTTTTAAGCAAGTGCATCATATTGGATTGGGCCCTAGTCATAGCTACCCTTGGACACAGTAGCCCCGTGTGTCTTCGTTTATAGATCATGCCTTGCGGCCCAAACTGACTGCTTGAGCAGCCGTCATGGCTCTCGCATTCCAGCCCAGAGAACCTTCTCCACTGGGTCATGATCTAGGGTGAGAAGTTCAGTCTCTCATATGAATGCAGCTCATCCATCCAGACGCTGGGGTCCTTATTACTGTCAGGGAAGGGTGGCAAAGGTTTTCACACTTTTGGCTATCTCAAGGATATTGGACATGGACACCAATAGGGCACTCTCTTCTTTGGACATTCACTGTCCAGATCCCACCTCTGCTAAGTTAATATCACACGCCCCTAAAAGTCACAACTGTCCCGATTCTTTCTGGTGTGTGAGCTGTCTCTCCATTAAGCCATCCACTTGATGTTGGTTTGCTGAACACATGTGAGTTGGGCTGAGTGATTGGCTTGGGCATCAGAGCCAGCGGCTACCACCTGCGCTCAGGGTAGCTGCCCTGTGATGATGCCAGCCCCTCCCTGTATCTCTCTGAGTGCTGAGCTGTCTGAATCTGAGCCCCTTCCTGGGGACCCTTGTCTGAAGGGTTGCAGGACTCTTTCTGACACGTTCTAAGTGCTAGAAGAACCTGGGGACATTTTAGAGTCACTTAATAGTCAAGATCAGCCCAGAGGTGGGAGATGTCCCTTTCCGTGCGGCACTGACCTTCAGCCTAGGCGGTGATGCTAGGCTGCAATCCTTGGCTGCACCTCTGTGGTCAGAGGCCTCTGACAGCTCTGCTTGTGCCTTTGCTTCCCGCTCCAAACCTCCCAGATCATCTCTCAGACGCAGCAGGCGTGAGAAGGAGGCTGCCTTTCTTCAGTCCCGAGCCTGGATGGTGACTGGCGAGAGATGACATGGCAGTCCTGGACCTGAGACAGCTGAAGCTCTGTTCAGTGTAAGCTCCACCCCTTCTCTTATGGACACGTACATTTCAGACACATGGTCTGGAGGAGGGTGGCCAGCCTGTCACCTGCACCCAGCACTGGCATCTAGGAGAGGGGTCTTCTATTACAATAACATTTTATTTTATGTCAGGCCTCAGAAGTTAGAGATTGACGTTTTCAGGCACTTCCAAAATATCAGCTAGTCAGGGCACACACAGATAAAGGGGCACACAGTGAAACCTGCAGCTCTTGTTTCAAAGGATCTGATTGATGTATGTCCATAAGTCCAGGGAGCATTGCCCCTAGGAGGCTGCCTCTTCCATGGCCAGAGGAAGGCAGGTTGATGCCCCCAAGACTCTTCGCTGGTATGTATGGAAGCAGTGCTAGCCACATGCAGAGGCACATGAGGTTATCCACGCTCCCACGACAGAGAGGAGAAGCTCTGGCACTAGCTGACCATGGCAGTGTGCCCACCCGAGTCAGTGGGAGGATGGAAAGGGTATGCATGCCCTTTCAGCTCTAATGCAGAGAAGTGTGCAGCAGAGGGACTGGATGCCACATTTGCAGCTCACAGCTACAGATCGAAGCTTAAGTGCAGCTTTACGCATGCGTACAGGTGCAAGGAGGAGTAGGGCGGGACCAGGAGCACCAGAGGAGCAGAGTGAGGGGTGAGCCGAAGTCTCCTCCAGATGTCCTGACCCCAATCACTGAATGACCTTGGCTGGACATAGGACTTTGTGGGAATGTGATTCCCACAATCTCAGCAGGGTCCCATCAGACTAGCATCCTTACCAGCGGGAAAGCTTGGACCTGTGAGGGAGGACTGCGAGGTAGGACACAGCAGATGATGGCTTTGCATGGAGGACAGAGGCTCCTAGATGCTGGGAAGCCTGAGGCACAGTTTTATTCTGGCCTTGCTAATGCCTTCATCCTTGATATTGGTCTTCTGAGCTGTGGGACAAGGGTTTCCTGTGGTTTGGGGTCCGGGTGCTTTGCTACACAGCCCAAACTGGCTGATAAACCCATCTTACACTGTACGGCATTATCAACCCTAGGTGGCTGCCCCAGATATCTACCCCATGGTGCCAACTCATACCCATGGTTCTTGGATGACCACTGCTGGGTGGACCTCTCTTCCCATCCAACCTTGGGTCAGACCCCTCTCACCTCCTTGGGGTCACTCTTGCTCTTACTGTCTGACAACCTCATACTGCTCCAATGGTAGATTTTGTCAACCAATGGCCTAGGCCTCAAGGTCTGAGCATTGGGGGCCCAGAGCTCCTACAGACATTTCAGTCAAGGTCATTGGCCATCTCCTCCTTTTTGGGCAAAAGCAGAGTCAGCATCCTGTACCACACAGACTGAAGGTTCTCATGGAATACTGGTCCACTTTCCTGCTTTTTTAATATCAAACAGGGCGAGAGATACAGTAGCTATGTCCAAGACTCAAAGAGCCGAGCAGAAGAGCTGTTGGTACCCAGTGACTCCATTGACTTTATAGCCCGCTAGTCACTCTCTTGGAGAAACCAGATAGGCTAAGCAAGAAGGATTGCATTTAGGGGTTCACATGTATAAGACAGGGAGGGGTACCCCAGAGGTAGCCATGAGAGAGAAACTTGAGTCTGACCCCGAGTGGCAAGGGACACTGCCATGTTTTAGGAGCAGCCAGGCTCTCAGGAGACCTTGAGCTGTGACTGGCTAGCTCCACTGGTCACAGGCATCTCAGGAGGCAGCTTGCACTGCTGTCCCTTCAGCACGAGATCTCGGCAGCAGCAGAGGTCTGAGGTCCCCTGGCATCCTAGGGTGGAGGTGGTTCCTTGGTATCCACACCCCAGTTCTGTCACCACAGCCTAGGCCAGCTGGCCTCAGGGAATACCATGCACACGTGTGTAGGAGACAGATCCACACGTGCCCATATATTGTTCACAGCATGGCTGGGCCAGGACCTGAAGTCAGGACTGGGATGGAGCCCTCAGGCCTGCTTCGTTTGACATACATTTTGTACCTAAAGATTGGTAGATTAGGGGGCTGGAGAGATGGCTTAGTGGTTCACAGCACTGGCTCATCTTCCAGAGGATCTGGGTTCAATTCCCAGTACCCACATGGCAGCTCACACCTGTCTGTAACTTCAGCTGAATTTGGCACCCTCTGACACACATACATGCAGGCGAAACAGGCACATAATATAAAAATAAATAATATAAAATAAATAAATCTTTTAAAAATTGGTGGATTAAACACCAATATTGACATTTCGAGAGTTATTGTAAAACATTCTAATTTTTGTCTTTCTGGAATAATGGTCAGATCCTTGCCTAGCTGCCTCCTCCAGATGCTCTGGCTTTAGTCTTCATCTTCCCTGCGGTCCCCTAGGCTAAGGGCCACCTACGCTGTCTGCTCTAGCTGTCATTTTCTTACCTACTGTTATCTTTACTCCTGGCTCCCTGACTTTCCAGTGCCTGCTCTGGACTTGCAAATGTTTGAAGATGGGGTTATGGTTGGTTTTCCAAGGTTCTCCTAGCAGTCTAGACAACACCAGGTCCGTAGTAAACGCTGATCAAAAGCTTCGTGAGTGAGTAAATGGGTGTGCGAATTGAATGAGTGAATGAGCGAAGAAATGCATGAACAGCAGAGCCGAGGAAGGAAGTGAGTCAGCGAGCTGAGGGGGTGAATGAGTGAGAGAGTGCGCAATGGAGAGACAGGAAAGAGCAAGCGGAGGCTGGGACGGTTCTCAGAACCTTTACAGTCGGGGAGGTCTGGAGAGAAATGACACCATCTTTTTTCTCTGCAGACGGACTTTGCAGCCTGCTGTGACTGGCCAGTCTCGGGCCGCTGAGGTCCCAGACGTCTAGTCCTGGGTGGCAGACTGCTACGAGGCCCTTGACGTTCCTTGCAAGGCCTGGAAATGCGGTCCGCCTCCATCTGTTCCAGATCCGGCAGCCTGCAGTGGGAGCTTCTGCACTGCCTTTTAATGGCCCGCTTTGTTCTTGGCTCCGCGCTCGCAGCCAGCCTGCTTGGCTGCTGAGCGGCCACATGCCAGTCATTAAGACAGCAGGCTGCCCGTGGAGCGGGAGAGTTTCCATCGCGGCAGCTCGCCCAGGAAGACCCCCTTCTTTCTGGGAAGGGCCTGGTTACGTGGGAGCGTGCTTGCTACCTTCTCAGTGACTCACCAACAGTCTCACTTGTCTGTGTGGACCTCAGGAGCCACCTGTGTGTGTCCTGTGAGGACAGGGAGGATGCATCCATGGTCTGTCCCTGTAAGGTGTGTGTGTGGCTATCTACGGTTGATGTTCACCAGCCTTCTCCTCGGGAGACTCAGGTCTGTGCTTGGCCTGTGCTTGCCCCGTGCCCACCTGGACCAAGGACAGCAGCCCTGCATCACTGGCAGGTGGCCTGGTAAGGCAGACACACAGGAGACGTTTGCAGAGTTCCCGTGAACCCACACCTTCTATTCTGCAAGTGGAGAACGGGGACCAGTGACTCTGGTCCAGTAACTCTGGACCATTGCTCTGGACCAGTGACTCCCAAAATGCATGTCCTTGTGAGGAACACAGGTTTATCTCAACATGCGAAGCCAGTGAGAAGTTACTAAACATAGATTTCGGGCCAAGAGCTGGGGTCGTTACTCTTTTTGACTTCACATTAGCATGCAAAGCAGACCTGGCTCTGATTAGAACCTCAACATCCATTCCACCCTAAGCCCCTCTGTAGAACTACAGCCCCTTAATGTCCACTGACATAAAACAGAGCCCAGATGAGGTGAATGATGCCTCAGATAAGGAGGCAGAATTCCCTGGACCACGGCACTGCTCTGCCTGCACAGAGAACCCTGAGTAGGAGACAGAAGGTGTCGTGGGAACTCCTTCAGTCAATAACCTTTAGGATACCAGCCCACTTTGGGCGTGGTCTCATGTACTATAAGTACAGATGTAAAGCGTGTGCAGCCCCCCCCCCCACTTTTCTCTGCTGGATTTCCAGTGCATGCAGAGGACTGCAGATTGCTGCCCTTGCTGTGAATTTATCCCCAAATAAACAAACCTTTGTTATCCTCCATCCCAGATTATTGTGGAACTCTCTGGTACTACTGCAGTTTGGAGCCCAACATGAGGTGTCATTTGTAAGCAGAGACTGCACTTTAGTTTTCCAGCCACCCAGACTCGAATGATCACACAAAATCTATATTAATTACAGTACTGTTTAGCCAATGGCTTAGGCATATTCCTAGCTAGCTCTTACATCTTAAATTAACTCATTTCTATTAATCTATGTATCACCACAAGACTGTGGCCTACTGGTAAGGTTCTGGCATCTTTCTCCTTTGGCAGCTACATGGCATCTCCCTGACTTTGTCTTCTTTCTCTGCATCAAGTTTAGTTTCCCCTGCCTACCTCTATTCTGCCCTGCCATAGGCCGAAGGAGATTCTTTATTAATCAATGGTAGTAAAACATATTCATAGCATACAGAGGGGAATCCCTTATCACTAAACAATGCCTAGCAGCCTAATGTCACTTCTGATGGACTAATCAGAGGAAGAGACACTTTAGGGGAGCACACAGGGAAAACCCCACAGCCAACAGTCTGAAGATGATCTCTAAGCTCCTCGCTAGACAGAGCTCCCATGTAGACCAGGGCTGGACTCAGGACTGTACTGCAAGGGATAGTGGAGTGATTCCCACAAGGCTAGGATGGACCCCACCTCCCGTGCACTCTGAGATACACGTTGGGGCTCAAGTTTTGAAACCCCTACCTACGGATAGATCACTTGCATTCCTTGTAACCTGGTACCAACCCTGGGTAGATTCCAATCAAGCAGTTCTACCTCCAGGTCCGAGAACTCAATTCCTATAGAACATAAGCTCCTGCGTTCTTCAAACAGCCCCCCTTGCATGCTGAGGGGACATCAGGTACCCATGAAGCTACAGGAAACAGAACAAAAACTGGATATCACTTCTCACTGTGTAAGTGTGCCCATTATTCTGCTTG